TGGTACGAGCAGCCTGTCGTGATGGTCGGTGTGTGTTCAGACAGAAACGTTCTGTTGCACTTTGGAGCCCAGTCCCCATATGGAACAACGTTCTGGGACAGAATCAACTGTGTGGTGCTGCTCGTCTCTGTGTGGGCTCATAACTACCCCTGTGTTGTAGAATTAACCACACCGTGATACTAGATGATCCGTTTGATGACCCTCTGGACCTGCCGGTGCCAGACCGATCCCCGGAGCCCAGCAAGGAGCAGTTGGATGTGAGTCCAGAACCAAACCATATCCAGCTCTTTCAGGTCCTCTACTGGGTAGTGAGTGTGTCTGAAGCAGCCATCGTCGTTTTGCTTCATAAACCAGAGCGGCCGGATCGGAGCTGAGGAGGTGATCGATGATACTGAAGGGAAGGAGGCTGAGGAGCTGGAAGAGAGGTTGAAGGAGAAGGAGGCTAAGACTCAGGCCATCCTGCTGGAGATGGTAAGATGTGCTCTCATCTCTCTGCTGAAGGTACCAGATCCAGCAGAAACCTTCTGTCCTGCTCCCCTGCAGGTGGGGGACCTCCCTGATGCAGATGTGAAGCCTCCAGAGAATGTTCTGTTTGTGTGTAAGCTGAATCCAGTAACCACTGATGAGGACCTGGAAATCATCTTTTCTCGCTTTGGACCCATCAAAAGGTATCGTTCACCTCGGCCAGACTTCCTGTTAGCCAGCAGCCAGCTGTGTTCAGCTCAGGGCTTCCAGCATCGTGAAGAAGGTTCTGTTTCAGCCTGGCTCGGCTCTAACTGTCTAAGCAGGCCAACCCGTTCACTTCACGGTCTTTGGGTAGAACCATCAGACTGAGAAGGTGTTGGTGTGGTTCGGTCGGATCGGAGCGTTGTAAGTAAATCAGAACTCCAGCTAGAGCTCAGAGATGTTGGTCTGATGTGTAAAGAGTCTAATCTAACCAGAGTGTTCTCCTCAGAAGAACCCTAACCATCACCTGTGCTGAAGCATTCCTCTGGGTCTAACTGGGAATGCTGGTTTTCCTTTACTCTAGTCTGTGTGTGTGTGTGTGTGTGTGTGTGTGTGTGTGTGTTTTCTCATTTAATTTTGCTTAATGCTTTTTTTAATATATGAAACAGGTGAAACAAGAAAAATGAGACTCTGGTGCAGAAGTTCACTTATGTCAGTAATTCAACGTAAAAGGTGAAACTGACCTATGAGACGGACTCATGCGTGTTTCAGCCTTTATTTGTTATAATTGTGATGATTATTGCTTACAGCTTATGAAAACCCCACAATCAACATCTCAGATAATTAGAAGGGTGTGAAAAGGTTCACTACTCTAAGACTCCAAGTGTCACATGATCACAGCTGATGAATCCAGAACACCTGCAGAGGGTTCCTGAGCCTCTGGTCTCTCAGTCTGAGCTGGATTACTGACATAAAGGGACGTCTGCTCCATATTTTAGTTTTTCCAGTTTCACCTGTATGGTGTGACCAGAACCGTTAGAAAAGTCCGTTTTTAGCACACAGGTCCATCAGAGACTGAAGCTGAACCCGGAACACCAGAAGCAGCATCGTAGAACCCAGCTAGTGGAGGTGCTCTGGGGACTCGACCGGCGTCTCCAGACTCGGTGACGTTTTTGTGTGAAGAAAACTAAACTAACTGTTTCCTTTCTGTCCAGCTGTGAGATCATCAGAGACTGGAAGTCTGGAGATTCCCTCTGTTACGCTTTCATCGAGTTCGATAAGGTTAGATCCAGTACCCAAACTCTCCTACAGCCATCCATCCATCAGTCATCCATCATCTAACTATGTATCATCCATCCATCATCCATTCATCCATCCTTTCATCATCCCACCACCCATCATCCGTCCATCATCCATTCATACATCCATCATCCATTCATACACCAATCACCCAACCATCCATTTTCCAACCATCCATCCATCATCCATTCATACACCAATCACCCAACCATCCATTTTCCAACCATCATCCATCCATCATCCATTCATACATCCATCATCCATCCTTTCATCATCCCACCACCCATCATCCGTCCATCATCCATCATCCATTCATACACCAATCACCCAACCATCCATTTTCCAACCATCATCTAACTATGTATCATCCATTCATACATCCATCATCCATCCTTTCATCATCCCACCACCCATCATCCGTCCATCATCCATTCATACATCCATCATCCATTCATACACCAATCACCCAACCATCCATTTTCCAACCATCCATCCATCATCCATTCATACACCAATCACCCAACCATCCATTTTCCAACCATCATCCATCCATCATACATCCATCATCCATCCTTTCATCATCCCACCACCCATCATCCGTCCATCATCCATCATCCATTCATACACCAATCACCCAACCATCCATTTTCCAACCATCATCCATCCATCATCCATTCATACATCCATCATCCATTCATACACCAATCACCCAACCATCCATTTTCCAACCATCATCTAACTATGTATCATCCATTCATACATCCATCATCCATTCATACATCCATTCTTTACGCGAGGACAGGATTAAGGATTCTATGCAGAATGTAATAAATGAGGCCCCAGGTCTCTCCAGCCGTGGTTCTTCAGGGCTCCTAACCAAAAAGTTTACATTTTTCTTTTTCAACACACCTAATTCAATGGCTGAATCACCTGCTCAGCAGCTCATCAGGATCTACAGAATCCTGCTAATCAGCAGGTTTGTTGGAGCAGAGGCAGGATAATGACCCTGTTGTGTGTTGGTTAGTCATACTAGCTTTAGCGGTTAGCTGTGTGAACTCGGTGATGTGCTGTTTCATGGACCCTGTTGGTGATTGACATGATAACGTTTGATGGCCCATCATATGTCTTGGTCAGGACTGGGCCAGTCTGTTACATTGGACCGGGACTTTCCTGGTTGATTTAGCTGTTTTCTAGAGGAACTTGAGCTGCGGCACCTTTCTACCTAAACTTATCTACTCGTTCTAAACTTGCTGTCCTGTCTGTTCTTTTTGTTTCGACAGCAAGAGGACTGCGAGAAAGCTTACTTCAAGATGGACAACGTACTCATTGATGACCGGCGGATCCATGTGGACTTCAGTCAGTCGGTCGCTAAGATCAAGTGGAAAGGAAAAGGTGCTCACACTCGAGCTTTAAACATGTTTGAGGACATCGTCTTGAAGAAGTAAAGCTTATGTTGGACCTTATGTGTGCATCAGGTGGCAAGTACACCAAAGATGACTTCAAAGCCTACGAGAAGGACCTGGAAAACCGAGGAAAGCTAGCTTTGAAGGACAAGATGAAGCCCAAACAAGAGTATCTTTGTTTCGTAACAGTTGGGCGGGTAAACAGACGACAGATTCAGAGACGTTTACACTTAACGTCAACTTCATCTATGTAGCCCTTTCTAGTCACTAGCGTGTCCCCAAATTGCTTTATACTGGCACAACAACACCATGGGAACAGACGTAAAAGACTTATTAATACAATAATAATTATAATTATTCTTTAGTGCTTTTTGAGGTACGCGGAGAGCTTTCCATTTTTCACACATTCACTCATTCAAACACTGGTAAGCTGGGATAGATCCAGCAACGTTTTAACTACTGGAAACCTGCCTACCTTCTAAACTGCTGCTGATATTATATCCTACACATATGTTTGCGATACAGCTAGTACACACACACACACACACACACACACACACAGGCAGACACAGACCAGAATCTTTCTTCTTGATGATTTCCATAACTTTCCGATCAGTTCCAAGTATGACCTGCTGATTGAGGATGAAGAGGAGACAGTGAGCCATCAGCACCTTGACAAGAAACATAAGAAGAAGCATCATCATCATCATTCAGATAATGAGGATGGCAAGAACACCAGAAAACACAAAGTAAAGTTTCTTTTCTGAATTTCCTCTGAATATTCGGTGCTAGTTTTAGTTCCAGGTTGGGGTTTTGGGGATACGGGTTATAGCTGAGCTCTTTTCTTGGAGGCAGGTTGACTCACTGTTAACTTTAAACAGATGACTCCGTAAACCTGACTCACGTTTCTACATGCTCGTGTTCAGGAAGGTTCAGCTCAGTCACCTAAAACAACAAGTGTACCAAATTTCACAATCCTCAGTCAATGCATGGCTTTGGGCTGGCAGTTGTAATGGTCCTAGGGGGCGCCATTTCGAAAAAGTTGACCACGTCCACCGAATTTTGATAAGTTTTATTGCAGGTCCTATTAGAAGAAGAAGAAAAGTTCTTTTCTATAGCGCCTCTCAAGATAAAAATCACGAGGCGCTTCACAAAAACAAAAAATGGAAAATATAAAGAATTTAGAAAATGATTAAAATATATATTTAAAATGAGCAAAAAATAGACAATTGTGATTAAAAATGTTGAGAAAGAGAGAGAGTGAACAGGAAAGAGGGAAACCAGTGGATCCTGAGGAAGGTGGGATAGGTGGGGAGAGCAGAATAAAGAGAGAGAGGTGAAGAAGGTCATACAAAAGCCAGCTTGAACAAGTGAGTCTTCAGCTGCTTTTTAAAGGAGACCACTGAGTCCACTGATCTCAGGCTCAGGGGGAGAGAGGTCCAGAGTCTGGGGGCCACAGCAGCAAATGATCTGTCACCTTTGACCTTTAGCCTGGTGCTGCACAACCAGTAGGCTTTGATCACTGGACCTCAGGGACCTGCTGGGGTGTAGGGACTAAGAAGATCACCAATGTAAGATTATATACATAAGCCGGCTGTTGCAGCGCTCCGCCAATGACATGGCGACCGTAGATCAAGGCAGATCAAGGAAGTGCTATTTCACAGAAGCAGAAGTTGAGGTACTTGTGGGTGAGGTGTAGAAATGAAAGGAAGTGCTTTTGCAAAACAAATAAAAAGAAAATCCACGGAGTGGCACAGCGTTGCTGAAGCCGTCAATGTTGTGAGTTCTTCAGAGAGATCTGTGGTGGATATAAAAAGAGTGGTCCAATCGGGATTTGATCCCCAGACTCCTGGGTAAAAGTCGTGTGTGCTAACCAGTCACCCAAACAGAGATCTCCCCTGTCCAAGTAGCCAGGTCACATGATCAATCGGGTCACAGTGACAGGACACACACCGTCACAGACGCATGACGTTCTGTCTCAATCTGTCCCCCTGCTGATAGTCTGCATTCTGGGCTTCAGGCTGTGTGTGTGTGTGTGTGTGTGTGTGTGTGTGTCCTGTGAACTACTTGTAACTATCCTTCAATACATGACAAACAACTGACAAAAAGATCTAAAAATACTGAAGCAGCAAACTTCACAAAAACCAATATTGTTGTCATTCTCAAAAACATTTGGTCACAAATTTAATGACACTTATATCTTAGTGGTATTTTTATTTCAGAATTTTGGGATATTTTGTATGATTATGGAGAATCTGTGTTTGTCTTCATGTCCGCCTGCCCGTCTGTCTGCGTAATGATTTCAGCTGCTAAACCGTGATCATGAGCGTCAGTGTTGGGCAAGTTACTTCAAAACTGTAATGCATTATTTATTACTTGTTACCCTCATTTTAAAGTAATTCATTACTGATTTTAAAATGTAAGGCATTACACTACTTTTGCATTACTTTAAGTTACTTTCACCAAAACAACTTCAGTATGAATCTGGTCATGTGACGCTCAGTGAGCTCATGACATGTATGTGGAAGGTGATGTGGTGTCTGAGCTAGGGTTGCTGTTAAAAACAGTCAGATATAATAACAGTGCTTTAAAATGATTGTTTACTAAATAAAAGCAACAACAATCTGTACTCTCAGCACGCTGCCATCTTATATTAACTGAGCAGGGAGTGAGGTGGTGGGGGCTCCAAGCCTATTTGCCTTGGTCCCCAAATGCCTTGATACGGCCCTGGATGTGGGACTGACTTCTGGGGTGATCTGATTCTATCACATGTATAAATATTAAATGCTTATATATTATTGCTTTTCACTGGTAAAAATGTGTATTGGGGATAAATCTACCTACTTTTTTCTTTTTTTTTCTTGATTTTATGTGAATAATTTCCGGCCCTTTCTCTCTCCAACCTTCCTGCATGCTGCATGTTTTCTCCGTCTTCCAGAAAAACTGTTTCCTAGACTTCCTACTTTCTATCAGCCAAAGGGATCTTCTCATGTGCGGCGCTCCAGCAGCAATGAGTTGAAATCACCGGGGCACAGATTATGAACTCAGCTGAGGCAAAGCACGTCAGAAAAGTACAGAATACCAGAGAACATGCGCTGATATGAACGATCGCAGGTGAATTATTTTGTTTTAGTGGAGCGATTTTGTGAATGTTACAGCGGCCGCGTGCAGGACGCCGCTGGAGTATTTGAGCCGTTACCGCTGCGTCCTCTCTGCCCGCAAAGCTGAGTCCATAAATGACGTCATATATGCAGATACTGGATCTTTCTGCGGGTTTCCTGCTATTTGAATTTTTAAGGAACACGTCTTGATTTTGGGTTTAAAAATGCATTGTAATTACCGCGTTACTGACAATTGTACCGAGTAAATATTACCATTTTCTTTCCCTGTAATGCCTTACATTACCACATTACAGCAAAAAGCAATGCATTACAGTAATTAATTACTTTTGTACCGCATTACTCCCAACACTGATGAGCGTTTACAGGGTGTTCTGCTGGAAGGTCCCAAGTCTTCGGTTACTCTGTCAGAAACACGTCCATATGAGAGTAACGCCTCGTGTCCTATATGTCACGCTGCTCCTCCCCAATGGTTTCCCAGTTCTGGAATCAATAATCGTGTGAACGTGTTGATCAGGTGTTCCGGGTTTGTTGTAGCAGAAGACTCCTAACTGAGAAGCAATGCCTCCATTTCAAGTGAAAGGTGATCCGTCTGTCCTCACTCTTGTCTTCTACTGTCGTGTTTCCAGGACAGTAAGGAGAGCCACGGTGACAGGAAGGTGGGCCGCCAGCACTCACGTTCACGCTCAAGAGACCGGGACCACAAGCACAGAAAGTCCCGATCCAGACATGACAAAGAGGGTCAGGACAAAGGTCACAGGGACATGAGCCGCTCCCCCAAAAGGTCGAAGGACAAGGACAGGAGCAGATTCAGATGACTGTATAAGAGTAAAACCTGAAGTCCACGATGTTCAGCTCACTCTTAGATCACTAACGGGTCTGATGTGGAACTTTTACATCCAGCAATGAGAACCTGGGAGTCTGTGGGTTTTTGTTTTAGCTCATCATGTGAATGTGAAGGATTTCTGTAGTCAGACTTGTGATAAATTAAAGGCATAATATGCAAATTTTTCCTACTTTTAAATCAATTCTTGAGCCATTATGCTTTAAATTCACCCTTTACAGCAGTGTTGTATAATTCTGGGCCTCAAGGGCCGGTTTCCAGTGGTTTCTCTAGTCCAGCAGTTCCCAAACGTATTTAGCCGCACACCCCGTTCCATGTCGACACAACCCCCATAGCCCCCCCCCCCCCCTCTCTGTCAATATATATGTATACAGGTCCTTCTAAAAAAAGCATGTTGTGATAAAGTTCATTATTGTCTGTAATGTACAGATAAACATTAAACTTTCATATGTATCAGATTCATTACACACAACTGAAGTAGTTCAAGCCTTTTATTGTTTCTAATATTGATGATTGTGGCGTACAGCTCATGAAAACCCAAAACTCCTATCTCAAAAAATTAGCATATTTCATCCGACCAACAAAAGAAAAGTGTTTTAATACAAAAAAAGTCAACATCAAATAATTATGTTCAGTTATGCACTCGATACTTGGTCGGGAATCCTTTAGCAGGAATGACTGCTTCAGTGCGGCGTGGCATGGAGGCGATCAGCCTGCGGCACTGCTGAGGTGTTCTGGAGGCCCAGGATGCTTCGATAGCGGCCTTAAGCTCATCCAGAGTGTTGGGTCTTGCGTCTCTCAACTTTCTCTTCACAATATCCCACAGGTTCTCTACGGGGTTCAGGTCAGGAGTTGGCAGGCCAGTTGAGCACAGTAATACCATGGTCAGTAAACCATTTAGCAGTGGTTTAGGCACTGTGAGCAGGTGCCAGGTCGTGCTGAAAAATGAAATCTTCATCTCCATAAAGCTTTTCAGCAGATGGAAGCATGAAGTGCTCCAAAATCTCCTGATAGCTAGCTGCATGGACCCTGCCCTTGATAAAACACAGTGGACCAACACCAGCAGCTGACATGGCGCCCCAGACCATCACTGACTGTGGGTACTTGACACAAGTTATATTTATCTTGTTTAATTGGAGCATAGAACATAGCATTAACGACTAAACTAGTAACAGCCGTAACTCATGTGGGTCAGGTTAGTTTGCGATAAAGTTGAAAAACAAAAACGGAAGTCAGTGGGCTAGGCTGAGTTTGCGTGAATGGGCGAGGCTGACTCTGGTGCAGCTCCGCCTTTGTGGTTCTGCAGCGAGCACCACACGGACGGTCGGACGCGGAAAAACATGGCGGACTGGCAAGAACTAGTATGGCAGAGGTTGGTAAATACAGACATTTGTATGATTCAGCTCTCAGAGATCACCGTGATCAACATGTTGTTAATAATTCTCGGAGAGAAATAGCTCGCACTGTCGGAAAAGACGAGGACGCTGTTAAAAAGATGCATGCCGTAGAGCTCCATGCTGCCCCCTACAGTTTGGGAGAATATTGGCTCACCGCAGAGACGAGCCGCATGAACCATAAACGCTGCGAGTTGTGAAGCGCGTTCCATCCGCGAGCCGCATCACCAAGCGGAAAGTAAATGCGTCAAGCATAAACCAAGCGGCGTTGCGTGTCTCTGCGCCGACGCAGACAGACTCATCAGGCTTTACTGTGCCGAATCGGCCAAAAACCTTCCCAGTACTGGCACACATAGTACACATAGCACATAGTACACATAATCAGCTTTACTCATAAAGCTAGGGAGGAACGCAGAAATCAACACAAGAGCCTGTAGAAAACCAGTTTATAAGAACTTACATGGAGACAACTGTGGTTCTAAATAAAACCAATAAAAACTGAATGACGTCAGCATCTCACTCCTTCAGATCAGTTATTAATCATGTTTGAGATGTTTCATATTGGTTAATGGTTAGGTCATTCCACCCATTTACACTGCAAAAGCATCAGAAACCGTCTTCTCTAGAACAGGTACCGTCCAGAGCTACCGTCCAGATGGATTAGGAGGGGTCTGACACACACTAGCTTTATGCTTATGGGAAACCTCGAGCATTCAGCAGGATCCAAACTCTTCAATCCACTTCTCATACTTCTCCAGGTCAGCTGCAGAGACGGACTTGGACACCTTCTTCAGGGCAGACTCAAAGTCTTCCATGGTGGTCGGCATGTGCATCTCATCCCGGGAGATGTTTCGGATCTCCTCTGGACTCAGACCCTCGATCCGTCGTCTCATTGCCATCAGAGAGGCATCCCTGAAACGTCCCAGAGCAAATCAGAAACTTCTCAAATCCTCCTGAGGATCACCACAGAGATAGTTTCAGGTTCGATCATCAAGCTGATTAATCTGGGTGCTTCTGACTGACCCAGGATCTGTTGGGTCAAATTTATTCTTCCAGGATTGGGGATACACACTCACACTAACACACCTCATCAGTTTCCTCAGAGCACCATCATACACTGGTGATCTTCTCAGTCCCTACACAGGGTTTCTGCAGGTTTAAGGGAGCCAAATTTAAGACTTTTTAAGACCTTTTTTAAGGCCACTTTGACCAAATTTAAGCTATTTTTTAAAATTAAATTTAAGCTATAATTTCCAGCTATTGCCTGGAACCGGTGCTAACCACGTCGTGAACGTGGGATTAGCCATCCAGTTACCATTAAACTTTCACTTCCACATGGCGCAAGCTCCCACTAGCTTAACCAGCTAACGTGCTCATCTAAAAAAAGCCCCCTTTCACAACCAACTGAATGTGTACGGCTCCGCTTACGCCAACATCATACACAAAAAATGCTGAACACTAACTAGAAATTCATGAAAATTGAAATAAAATAATCTTGTTTGTTGGGTCTTTGGAAATTTAGGACATATGGAAACTGTATTTAAGGATTATTTGTAATTTATATGGATTTTTAAGGCCTTAAATTTGGAAAAGCAAATTTAAGACTTTTTATGGACCCGCGGATACCCTGCTACACCCCCAGCAGGTCCCTGAGGTCCAGTGACCAAAGCCTACTGGTTGTGCAGCACCAGGCTAAAGGTCAAAGGTGACAGATCATCTGCTGCTGTGGCCCCCAGACTCTGGAACTCTCTCCCCCTGAGCCTGAGATCAGTGGACTCAGTGGTCTCCTTTAAAAAGCAGCTGAAGACTCACATGGAATCCTGTGAAAACCTTTTTCTTTTTCACTTTTACTCTCAATTTTTCATTTTTTCCCCAATTCCTAAAACAAAATGATTTTATTGTTTTACTTGTGCGGTTCTGTGAAGTGCCTTGTGAGCTTTACCTTGAGACACAATATAAAATATAATTTATTCTTCTTCAGAAAGTCGGACTGGTTTCCCAGAAAGCGTTTACAACCTCAGCTTACCTGCACACATTGGTGATGTCGGCTCCAGAATAACCCTCCAGCTGCTCTGCGATCTTGTCCAAGTCCACGTCACTGGCCAGCTCCAGCTCTTTCAGGTTGATCCGGAGCAGCTCCACCCGCCCCTTAACTACAAACAGGAAACTGGAAGTGAAGCAGACAGAAAACCACTCTGCAGCAGGTAGTAGCTACAGGAAAATCCAAGGCTACGCTGCAGTCAGACAAACAACACCAAAGGTCAGGTGATACCTGAACCACAAGGTATTAGGGTCCAGAGGTGGGGTGGGCGTCATTCAGACATGTAGGACTCGATCTGACTCACTTCTCCCACATCTGACTGAGTGTGTCCAAAAGTGTGTATGCATGTACGAAAGTGTCTTTTTTTGAGTGTGTGCATTGTTCCAACAGCCCTCACCGGGTCTGATGACCACATCCACGCCTACGGCTTCAGGTGTGTTCTGACTCCACCCCTCCACCCTGCCCGTTTCTGTTCTACACACTTAAGGTAGCTCCTACTGAGCAGACTTTTACTTGAGGGCAGAGGGATGTAGATCCTCTTCTCCAGCCGTCTCCTCAGAGCCTCATCGATGTCCCAGGGGAAGTTGGTGGCAGCCAACACCATCACCATCTTGGATGGGTCGTCGTTCTCTGAAGCTCCATCAACACCTGCATCAAAGCCACAGCGAGCATTTAAACATTACTGTTGATTTCAAACACTGGTCGTTTCAGCTACCAGCAACAAGTGGAACAATAAAAGCCAGATACCATCCATCTGCACCAGAAGCTCAGCTTTCACCCTCCTGCTGGCCTCGTGTTCCTCTGACGTTCCTCTGCGACTGCACATGGAGTCAATCTCATCTATAAAGATCGTGGTGGGGGCATAAAACCTGGCCTGTTAAAAACACACGATAGGAAAACCCATGAAAACTGAAGGAGGAAATGCTTTCTATTTCTGATTGGATAGGACACGGAGGAACAGCTCACTAATCCTGTCACACAGTTCCCATCCAGACCATAACCCGTCGTATTTGGTTCTGGTCTACAAATTTAGACCAACCGTAGCAGTAGATTTAGCCCGGCAGGTCGGTCCACCGTTCAGCAGACCAGTTTTGTGTCAAGCTGCAACGCTTTGGAAGTGATTATTAATAAATTGTCAATAAAATGTAATATTTCATAAATATATGGATTATCAATATCATTGAATGATGATGAAACTAGGTATTTTGGTTAATCAGGGAAACACCTTATAATAATTTAACACAGAGACAAAAATATAGTTTATAAAAATCAGTTTATTACTATATTTCTACTACTGATGATTTATTAAACATTATGATTTAAAGTAACCTCAATGGGGACAATGAATAAACTGATGAAATATGATCGTAGATGTTATTAAGATCCTAATTAAGTGACTCAGAAAAGAAGTGATATTTATAAAATAATCTGGTTGAGTTTTATTTAGATTTTATTAGTATTAAATTAATCTTAACCCATCCGACGCCAGTGCAGAGGGTAAGGTAGCCTAAACGTTTGTTATACGAGAAGGACTAGCTTAACAGCTACATTTCTACATTAAGCTGAACTGTGAAATTAGCAGCACATGCTGAATTCAGGAACGGATAACATAAAGTGTCCAAGTAGGTGAATGTAGTTTAAAAACTGGACTGCTGAAATGTTTAAACAGCTGGTTTTTGAGTTAGAAAAGTTTAATGCTTAAATTTTCACACTGAAGTGTGAATTTAGAAACATGCTGAATTCTGAAGCGGACAGCTTAACGTGCGTTCAGACTGGATGGATGAATGGTTGTGTTGTGATTATTAGTCAACGAATAATTTGTAAGCTTTACATACTTTTTTGGATTCATCAATAAATTCGTAAATATGGAAATATTTACCGATTGATTACGTAATTAGGATATCCATAGATATCCTCGGGGCACCACCCATTTTTACAGGGGAAAATGAATCCACAACCTCTAATCAATCAATCTAAAGTCCGTAAAATCCTTAACGAGCTGCAGTTGTATTTATATCAACACAAACAAATTCACTTGACAAATGCTTAATTGGCAATAACATTTATTAACTAATATACCCACTTCAGCTCCTCCCAAAGCGTTTAGCCAATCAACATCAACCAACTTATTTTATCAAACCAATAAGTGATTAAACAATGAGATTATAATGTGAAATAATCTGAGGTGGTGTATCAAAATGGAGGTAGTTGAAAACCCAAAATGACTGTTCCCTTTGTTTGAGGGAGCAAGGACCCAAAATGTATGTGGGACGCGTGTGTCCTCCCAAACACTGAAAACCAGAATGTGTGTGTGTGTGTGTGTGTGTGTGTACGTGAGCAACTTTCACTTTAACTTCCAAAGCACGTTCAATCACAGTAAAACTTAACCAAAACACTTCAAAACCTTAAACCCGCTTCACAAAGCTCAAGGAAAAACCAAAGATCAATCACAAATGAAATACCTAATAGTTTGTCAGCCTGGCCACAGCATATAACTTAAGATATTAAACAATGACAAAAACAAAACGGCTTACTCTTAAGATGATCCGATGGCATGTTTTGGTACGGAGGAGAGAAAGAGCCGTCTGTTAATTTGAAGCAATCGCGCAGTTTGATCGCTTGTTCGGACTATTAAGAGTAACGGGAGAAAAAGGAGATAGAGGAGAAAAAGGGAAAAAAAACTCTTCTCTGAGCAAACCAAGGCGTCCCTCGTCGTTCGCGCTGAGCAGATTTGATGGTTTTCCGCTGCTTTTCAGCAGCTCGGCCTCTTGACGTGCGTCCGGAGCCGTAGCAGAAGTCTCTTCACATCGGCTGAGACTGGGACAAAAGAGGGTTAAGTTTCGTTCTATGCTGGGCTTTAGATTCTCCAACCAGCGGGCGGGACGTGTGGAGGTTCCGGGGTTCGGCGTCGCTTTGGTGACGTCATCAAGTTGCTTCCGGCTCAGGGAATCATGGGAAATGAAGTTGTTGCTGGCACTGATTTTAATATGCCTTTTTATGTACGCTTCAGGGCGGTTTTGGCACAGACTTTTGGAGAAATTACTGCATAGTAATTTTCTCATGAAGGCAGACCCTCAACAGTTGTGTAACATTGTGAGTCCTGTAGACCCTGTGACTGTGGGTCAGTGTGCCGACTCGGCCATCCAAGCCTCATTTGATCCGAGCTCTTATTCCTGCTTCACCAAGGGGATGACGCAGTCCACAACTCCTGAACAAGAGGAGACGCTGCGATACTTGGTTGAAAAAGTCCATCCATCCATTTTCATCTGCTTATCCGGAGTCGGGTCGCGGGGGCAGCAGCCTAAGACGAGAGGCCCAGACTTCCCTCTCCCCAGCCTTAGGATTCCCCCGGAAGAGCTGGTCCAAATGGCTGGGGAGAGGGAAGTCTGGGCCTCCCTGCTTAGGCTGCTGCCCCCGCGACCCGACCCAAAGGTGGGTCTTCAGCCTGTTCCAGAGACGAGGGCCATAAAACTCAAAAGACGCCTCGTTGTGGGTATGTGTCCTAACCTTTGGGTTAACAAGGAGGCGACTGCCAGAGGAGCAAAGAGGCCGAGAGGATTCATACAGTAAAAGCAGTTCTGCAAGATAAGAAGGTCCAAGCCCATTAAGACACTTAAAAACCAGGGCCCTCATTTATCAAGCTTGCTTACGCACAAAACGCACAAAAAGTTTTCCACGCAAACTTTGGGATTCATGAAAGAAAACTTAGCGGAAAAATGTGCGCAACTTTAAGTTGACTAAGGACCTGGCTTACGCACATGCTGGACATGGAGAGCACCTGCAGCGCTGCTGCTGAGGAGGATACCATTATGAATTCCAGCAGCATTATCACTTGTACCGCTTCGTGTTCACACAGAACAAGACCCCCCCTACTCCACGCACGCTTGCCGGTCTGCGTACTGCTGAGATCCTAACGGCGAGCGGTGGGAGATCAGAGGTGCCACACGGTCTGGCGGTGCCTAAACATCTTTTTTTTTGCCTCCACCTTCAGATAGGATCATTTTTTATATCCACCACAGATCTCTCTAAGTGATGGATGGTAAGGCCCTGGTCCGATAGGTGAGTTAGTGTTAAAATGCGTGCCGAGTTTGTAGGAGTTTATAGTTCAACTGCATCATCCACAATGCTTCCACCATCGTCACTCACCAAATGCCTTGCAGACATTAGGACCTGGCTTTCTTCCAACTTCCTGAAGCTGAACTCTGACAAAACTGAAGCGGGGAGGCCACATAGCTCTCAGTGGCAACAGAAACACTACTGTCACATCTAGATCAGGGTAAGAACCTTTGTATTATTCCAGACAGCACCCTGACCTACCTTTCCCATATCAGTTCTGTCACTCCATCAGCTTACTACCACTTGCGAAATATTAACCGCCTACGTCCATCTCTGTCTAATAACTCAATTCAATTCAAAGATACTTTATTAATCCCAGAGGGAAATTAGAGTTTCAGTACACACAATTCAGAGATCAGACATACATGGGCAAGACGTGGGTGGGTGGGTCGGTCGCCCTCTCCCTCCCTCTCTCTCTCTCTCTCACACACACACACACACACACACACACACACACACACACACACACACACACACAAAGTAGTCCAGCTCACCATCTCAAACAGGAGACGTACAAGTTTTTCCGATTCTCCTCGGTACTTGGAGGTAAGAGTGGAGGACGAGACATTGAAAAACGTGGTTCTGCATTCAGTAGCAACTGCTTTTGCCAAAAGGGTTTTTCCGGTCCCTGGAGGTCCCACCATCAGCACCCCCTGAGGAAGAGAAGAACACCCATGTAAACTCAGATCTGATAAAACACTTCTGCAGCGAAAGGCAGCACCTTCCAAGGTCTCCGGATGCCTTTGAAGAAAGCTGGCATCCACATGGGCAGCACGACAGCTTCCTTCAGGAGCTTTTTAGCATCTTCCAAGTCTGCAATGTCATCCCTAAAAAGAGTGGAAATCACTTAGATCTGACAGCTATGACACGAGGAGTAACCATAGTCAACGTGAACCAGCAGCTGGCGCCTCCTACGACAGCAGATGCCCTCTAGAGCAGCTGGTGCCGCCTATGACAGCAGTTGCCCTCTAGAGTAGCAGGCGCCCTCTACGACAGCAGATGCCCTCTAGAGCAGCTGGCGCCCTCTATGACAGCAGATGCCAGATGCCCTCTAGAGCAGCTGGCACCCCCTATGACCGCAGATACCCTCTAGAGCAGCTGGCGCCCTCTACAACAGAAGATGCCCTCTAGAGCAGCTGGCGCCCTCTACGACAGCAGATGCCCTCTAGAGCAGCTGGCGCCCCCTACGACAGCAGATGCCCTCTAGAGCAGCTGGCGCCCCCTACGACCGCAGATGCTCTCTAGAGCAGCTGGCGCCCCCTATGACCGCAGATACCCTCTAGAGCAGCTGGAGCCCTCTACGACAGCAGATGCCCTCTAGAGCAGCTGGCGCCCCCTACGACAGCAGATGCCCTCTAGAGCAGCTGGCGCCCCCTACGACCGCAGATGCCCTCTAGAGCAGCTGGCGCCCACTACGACAGCAGATGCCCTCTAGAGCAGCTGGCGCCCTCTACGACAGCAGATGCCAGATGCCCTCTAGAGCAGCTGGCACCCCCTATGACCGCAGATACCCTCTAGAGCAGCTGGCGCCCTCTACAACAGAAGATGCCCTCTAGAGCAGCTGGCGCCCTCTACGACAGCAGATGCCCTCTAGAGCAGCTGGCGCCCCCTACGACAGCAGATGCCCTCTAGAGCAGCTGGCGCCCCCTACGACCGCAGATGCTCTCTAGAGCAGCTGGCGCCCCCTATGACCGCAGATACCCTCTAGAGCAGCTGGAGCCCTCTACGACAGCAGATGCCCTCTAGAGCAGCTGGCGCCCCCTACGACAGCAGATGCCCTCTAGAGCAGCTGGCGCCCCCTACGACCGCAGATGCCCTCTAGAGCAGCTGGCGCCCACTACGACAGCAGATGCCCTCTAGAGCAGCTGGCGCCCTCTACGACAGCAGATGCCAGATGCCCTCTAGAGCAGCTGGCACCCCCTATGACCGCAGATACCCTCTAGAGCAGCTGGCGCCCTCTACAACAGAAGATGCCCTCTAGAGCAGCTGGCGCCCTCTACGACAGCAGATGCCCTCTAGAGCAGCTGGCGCCCCCTACGACCGCAGATGCTCTCTAGAGCAGCTGGCGCCCCCTATGACCGCAGATACCCTCTAGAGCAGCTGGAGCCCTCTACGACAGCAGATGCCCTCTAGAGCAGCTGGCGCCCCCTACGACAGCAGATGCCCTCTAGAGCAGCTGGCGCCCCCTACGACAGCAGATGCCCTCTAGAGCAGCTGGCGCCCCCTACGACAGCAGATGCCCTCTAGAGCAGCTGGCGCCCACTACGACAGCAGATGCCCTCTAGAGCAGCTGGCGCCCCCTACGACCGCAGATGCCCTCTAGAGCAGCTGGAGCCCCCTACGACAGCAGATACCCTCTAGAGCAGCTGGCGCCCCCTACGACCGCAGATGCCCTCTAGAGCAGCTGGAGCCCCCTACGACAGCAGATGCCCTCTAGAGCAGCTGGTGCACTCTTCGACCACAGATGCCCTCTAGAGCAGCTGGCGCCCTCTACGACCGCAGATGTCCTCTAGAGCAGCAGGCGCCCCCTACGACAGCAGATGCCAGATGCCCTCTAGAGCAGCTAGCGCCCCCTACGACAGCAGATGCCGTCTAGAGCAGCTGGCGCCCCTTTGGACAGCAGATGCCCTCTAGAGCAGCTAGCGCCCCCTACGACGGCAGATGCCCTCTAGAGCAGCTAGCGCCCCCTACGACGGCAGATGCCCTCTAGAGCAGCTGGCGCCCCCTACGACAGCAGATGCCCTCTAGAGCAGCTGGCGCCCCCTACGACAGCAGATGCCCTCTAGAGCAGCTGGCGCCCCCTACGACAGCAGATGCCAGATGCCCTCTAGGACAGAATACAACATTTACGACAGCCGAAGCTCTAGTCCTCACCTGCAGAGCTTTCAGAAAATGACACCAACCCTGAACTTAGATTGAACTCGAACAGTGGACTTCTTTAGCATGCTCAGAGAAGTAGCCACTGCCCGAACGTAACTTACCATTTGATGCTCAGATTCTGAGAAATAATATCTCTCTCCAGAGCTTCCACAAGGTCTTTGTCATATCCCGTCCCATCAAACCTTCTGACTTCCTTTTCCTGGAGAAAACAAAAACATTCTTCACTTGCCTGCAGTTCGTAGAGGAAAACAAAAAAAGAGGCTAAGCAGCAAAGCCTTCTGACCTTCTCATCCTTTGCTTTGGCAGAAGCCTCCTTAAACTCCTTCGGTTCCTTCTTGTCTTTGCTCTTAGAGACTTTGTTTCTATCGTCATTTGTTCCTCGAGGTGAGGGTTTCTGCTGGGCCTTAACCGCTGCACTCAAGCGATTGCTGGGAGGCTTGAGGTCCTTATAAGGGTTAGCAGAACGCCTGAGGAGATGAAGAGAAGTCAGACAAGGCAGCTGAGCTTCTGGCCCTCACACCTGCAGACACACCTGACAGCAAGGGCAATTTTCCCAAATTTCTTATAGGGGTTCAGATTCTGGATCTGCTCATTTTAAAAAGGATGAGTTTTCATCAGTTGACCATCAACAGAAAGCTGGAAAATCAAGTCTGGACCAAGAGAACAGAACAAATCCAACTATAAGAAGAAAAAAATCTATTCTGACCCAGAAATACTTAGACGTCATAACTGATCTTAGAGCAGGAAACTGACCAGGTTTGGTGTCCAGAATGCATTATGGTAACAAAGCCAGGTCAGAGCAGAAGTGAACGAGCTTTGTGGTGTTGAACCTTCAGACCTGGACCTGGAGGTCCATCAGTCCTGCCAGTCTGACCCTGATCTTTCTAGTCCAGGACTGGTTTTAAATCACATAACTGAATGATGAACCAAATGTGGTACCTGGGTTCCACCTGTGCTGGTCTAATCTCAAAGTCCACATGGTTGCTGGGTTTAACAGGAGTCACAACTTGCTGAAACTTCTCCAGAGTCGACATTATATCCTGAACTTGTCGAGTCTCTTCATTGATTTCTTGCCATAACTGAAAACAAACAGAAAAAAATCAGGAAAAAGCACGACTCTGTAAAAATATCTGAGGTTTGCTGGTTACCTGCTGCCACCGCTGCTGGACGGCGCCATCGCGCACCGAATACATATGCCTCCTGATCTGTTCCAGCAGACCATGGTACAGAACACTGGCTGAGCTGTAGTTTCCCAGTAAAGCATATTCACGGGCCAGCTTCATGTTCTCTGTGATTTCTCGTAAACTCATGCTGCAACAGAAACAGGTCGCTGATTATTTTAACACATAATATTTTACCTCATCTAAGGCTGGGCAATCATTCCATAATGATATATATCGATGTGGTACTCCTTTGTTTTTCATTACAGCCTATTGGGTAGCTTACTACCAGACTCTCAACCAATCAACAACATATCTCAAAACAATAATTTGGTTTTTAAACATCCTTTGCTAAATTTGTAACGGGAGCTGAGGCCAGGGGTGTTTCTTAATGTCAAGGAACCTCGCCTTGATGTCTTGGCTCAGGGGGAGAGAGGTCCAGAGTCTGGGGGCCACAGCAGCAGATGATCTGTCACCTTTGACCTTTAGCCTGGTGCTGCACAACCAGTAGGCTTTGATCACTGGACCTCAGGGACCTGCTGGGGGTGTAGGGACTAAGAAGATCACCAATGTAAGATGGTGCTTGTCCATGTAAGGCCCTATAGACCAGAACCAGGATCTTGAAATGAACCCTGAAGTCGACTGGCAGCCAGTGAAGCTGGAGGAGAAGCGGGGTGATGTGGGTGTGTTTGGAGGACTTGGTCAGAAGCCGAGCACAGGCGTTCTGAACCACCTGTAGACGGTTCAGGGAGGTTCTGCTCAGACACGTGAAAAGAGAGTTACAGTAGTCTAAGCGTGAGGAGATGAAGGTGTGGAGAACTGTCTCAAGTTCAGAGCGGGACAGAATGGGACTCAGCTTAGCAACGTTCCTGAGATGGAAGAAGGAAGAGCCAACAAGAGAACTGACATGAGAATCCAGGGTGAGAGCTGGGTCAAAGGTCACACCAAGATTCCTGACAGAAGGTTTGGTGTGAGAAGCAAGCTGACCAAGAGAGTCTCTGACTTTGGGAACCAGCTTGTCTGGGGCACAGATGAGGATCTCAGTCTTATCTTCATTCAGCTGTAGAAAGCTCCCACCATCCAGGCTTTGATAGAGTCTAAGCAGGTGTGTAACAGCTGCAGCTTATGGGCCATTCCCATCTGTACCTGGTCGGCCCGGCCCGGATAGCATAGCTTGCTTACATATTTTGGTGGCCTGCCTTTTTTCAGGGTGCAACGACTGTTTTTCAGCCCTCTTTCTGAGGGGGTCTGCTTCCGGCCGACCAGGGCCAACACCAGTGTTGCCAGATGTACGATAATTATCGTACATCTGGTAACACTGGCCAACACGCCCACTGCTCACTGATAAGCCGGCTTACCAGTGAGCAAATTCACACCTTCCATTAGAGCAAGCCTCTGATTGGTGGGTAGAATCAGCCCACATGGGCTTAAGGCATGCTCAATTCATTATCATGCGGATTACCTACAAGCTGAAAATGTCTCTGACTGCATTCCTTGCATACCTAAGCAAGGATGTGTGGAATCAACCGGGCCAGGCTGATTATCTGCAACAGAGTGGATGGAGGCTGTAGGAGAGGCAGGAGAGACGATGCTGCTGATGGTGTTAAACAGCACCTTGGGGTTCCCTTTGCTCTGGGACACCAGGTTGGAGAAATAGGAAACCCTAGCGTCTCTGACTGCAGAGCTTAAGGATGTCAGAAGATCCTTTAGGTGCAGCAGATGGACGTGGAGATGGGTTTTCTTCCACAAATGCTCAACTTTTCTGCATTGGTGCTTCAGGCTGCGAAGGCTGTCATTAAACCAGGGAGTAGGGTTCAGTGAGCCAGGATCCTCTGGAGGTTTCTTCCTGTTAAAAGGGAGTTTTCCTCTCCACTGTCGCTGCATGCTTGCTTAGTATGAAGATTGCTGTAAAGACACTGACACTCGTCAGTGACTCGATGCAACCTGTTTGGTTCCTTATATTGGAAACTTTTTACTGATTGGCTTAATGAACTGACCTGAATTGGAATGTTTACTATGTGAAAGTCCTTGACACGACTCTTGTCGTGATTTGGCGCTTTAGAAATAAACTGAATTGAATTGGGACACCATGGGTAAGGGAGGTGGTGGAGGACCTAAACTTGGAGACGGCCACAGAAAAGGAGCGCTCAGAGAGATAAGAGGAGAACCACTCCAGAGCAGATCCTGGTAGGCCTACCCAGTCTCTCAGCCTCTCCAGTAGCAGGTGATGGTCAACAGTGTCAAAGGCTGCAGTCAGGTCCAGCAGGACCAGAACAGAACCGTCCCCTGCATCACTGTGGGTCAGAAGGTCATTAGAGACCCTAAGAAGAGCTGTTTCAGTAGAATGAGCTCTACGAAAACCTGACTGGAAGCTATCATAGATGTTCTGTTCATCAAGAGCAGCTGTGAGTTGTTTAGCCACAACCTTTTCCAAGATCTTGGAGATGAACGGAAGTTTAGAGATGGGTCTGAAGCTGCTATGGAGAGAGGGGTCGAGACTCGGTTTTTTTGTAATGAGCGTGCGTTTGTACAGTTTGGGCGGTGCGGAGCGGTGGGGAAACGCGTTTCATCAGTGGAACCGACCAGAATACTGATGTAACACCAGAGCACATAGGTGTGGGTTTCTATTAGCAACAGAGAGGGATGGGGGGAGGGCAAGCAGCAGTAGCTCAACAGGTTGAGCGGGTTGTCCAGTAACCGGAGGGGTTGCAGGTTCGATCCCGGCTCCGGACAGAGAATTCTGCTGCTGTGTCCTTGGGCAAGACACTTAACCCACGTTGCCTGCTGGTGGTGGTCGGAGGGACCGGTGGTGCCTGTGCTCGGCAGCCTCGCCTCTGTCAGTGCGCCCCAGGGCAGCTGTGGCTACATTGTAGCTCATCCCCACCAGTGTATGAATGTGTGTGTGAATGGATGAATGATACACTGCAGCGTAAAGCGCCTTGGAGTCCTGACTCTGAGAGGTGCTATACGAGTGCGAGTCATTTATCATTTAACACAGCCAGACAAACACAGAGAGACCGGACTGATAGTAACATTTTTGAGCTAAACTGTGGGAAACGTGTGGCTGCTTAACCTCCTCATTAGAAAAAAGTGTGTGTGTTAAAACACGGTGTGGGGGTGTTTGATTTCAGCTAGAATTTCAGACGAGGCGCCGCGCCTGAGCCTGTGTAGGGGAGACCCTGGGGTGAAGATGGTCGAAGTTTGCGAGAAGTTTGGGATGAGCCACTCCACACAGCCTTTGTTCTTTAGGAAAGTGGTCAAACAGGATCTCTCTCAGGCTGCAGGCCGCGGTGTCTTCCCAGCAAGAGTTGAGGTTGAGAAATAATCCGTGAAGTCAAATTCCGTTAGTCAAAAACGTCCCAAAAATAATGACAGTATTACTTTGATCATCTGCTTCAAAGTTTTCACAAAATGTAACGGAAACATTAACTATAAGATCAGACAAATACAAAAACGTAAAACAGTCAGGGACTGACAAACGAACAAAAGACTAGTAGGGCTGCCATCTTGGATTTTATGTAATCCTGACTAGAGAATGCATGAGATGAGGATGCATCATGAATTTAGCTAAATATGATAGAGATGTTTTCTTTGGACAAGAAATAATTACCGTTAGTATTGTGGATGATGGAAAATGAGCCGCCTCTAGAAATAATTATATGATGACATGAAAGTGTCTGTGGGACATTTGAGACACGCATCTGTAGCTCTCACCTGTAGGTAGAGAGATAAAGACGCTCTGGTTTGCTATGCTTGTAAATAGGGATGCACCGATGGATCGGCATTTGATCCTAATCGGCCGATAGCGCCCCTATCGGTTTTGATCGGAGTTTTCAAAATAGATCAAAGCAGACCGATCAGGTAGGGTTGTCACGGTAACCGGTGTAGCGGTAAACCCCGGTAAAAAAAAAAGTTGAAAATAATAATAACCGTCTTGTTTTTAAAAACTATATTATCTCGGTGGATTAGCGTGGCTGCGGTGTAGGCGCGGTGACCCTTACCAGCCACCGTATCATCTGCTGAAGTTGCCGGCGGCACATGCGCACTTTGTTGTTTACAACCAAAACTTTCTTGAAGCTAAAGCTGAAATAATGGCAGGAGGAGGAGACGGCAGCGCTCAGGACATTTATTATCCGTCAAAGAAGACAAAGTGGGAAGTGCGGGCATCTTTTGGATATCTGAAGAATGCCGAGGGACAGCTGATAGAAGACGGCTATCCTGTTTGCAGCACGAGCAGAAAAAGTGTCTGTGAAAGGCAGCAACGCTTCAAATCTCATGACACATCTGCGTGACCATCACCCACAACTCTACAGTCAACGCAAGGCAAGCTAACGTTAGCGTTTTAGCTAAAATGCGTGATCCGAGGATTTGGGTTGAGGGAGAAAGCAACGAGTCGCTATATAAAGCAGCCGCAGCGCCGCTACCTGCATATAAACCGTGTCGCGGACACCGCCATGTTGAAATGACGCTATGCATTACGGGGCTCCCAGGGGCAGATAAGAGTTGGTCTCTCTCCGAGAATAATTATGAATTTAACAACGATTACTGCCTGATGACATTTTCCCACATCTGCAAAGCTCACTGGAAGAACACAAACCTAGGACAATATTTTCCTGATACAGGGTTTATTACTCAAGTAAGGGTAAAAAAAGTATCTGATTAGAAGGCTACTCGAGTACTGAGTATCATCTGATCTAATACTTTTAAAATGATGACATCAAACAGACAAAAAATAAGAAGTTATGGGCAAATATTGGTATTTTAAAGACTAAAGGGGAAAACTGTAAACAAATAAACATAATTACTAAATAACACATTTTAGGCTCAATTTAGACACAAACTGAGGACAATATTTCCTGACATACAGGGTTTATTTAATTGTGTGAAAATGTAACACGTTTAAAAAAATACCGTGATAATACCGAAAACCGTGATAATTTTGGTCACAATAACCGGGAGGTTAAATTTTCGCACCGTGACAACCCTAATACAGACCATTTTAGATTAGGTTGCATTTCCTTTATTCCCAGATTATGTAGTTTGTAGCACTTGTAGCATTATAATGTTGTAGAAAATTTCTGGCCAATCCATGTGATCGGTATCGGTGATCAGCATTCTTTGATATCGGTGATCGGCAGCAAAAAACCTGATCGGTGCATCCCTACTTGTAAATACTCCGTTACGAGCGATTCTGTTGAAAAAGTTAAGAGTTTGTAAGGCGTGGGTTACGGCGCCAGTAGCACGAAAATAATACTGATAAAAGAGCAACCAGAGACTCAGAGTCATTGCAGTATAATCGCTGATACGAGCCAATACTGTTAGACTCCAGCCATGTTTGCCCTGATAACTAATAACTCCACGGTGCATGACCCATGTGACCTGCAGTAGATGCAATGACATCATCATACATTTAGTTTAACATGACAGATTTATTTTCTCTGGGCAAGAAATATACGATATGGCCACCTCTAGATGAAATTTAAATATTTTTACATTAATTATAAATATATAATTAAAAAGACATTGGGGACATTTGATACACTCTAGCTCTCATCTGTGTGTGTGTGTGTGTGTGTGTGTGTGTGTGTGTGTGTGTGTGTGTGTGTGTGTGTGTGTGTGTGTGTGTGTGTGTGTTAGCAGACAGCTGTACCAGCGTTTCTAAAGCTCAGACTGGTAGAGAATAGGCACTAAGGTTAAAGTTTGACAAGAATCAAAACATTTTTATGCATTTAATCTACTGATATATGTTTATAATTTCTCAAGACAGCTTGAAGTGAGTTAACTTGTAAATATTTTACAGGAGGACAATATCAAGATATATATCGTATATCGGAATTCAGCAAAAAGATATCAAAATGTAAGTTTTGGTCCATATCACCCAGCCCTACTCACTGGTGTCAAGCCAGCCTCCAGTTGGAGACTTGCAGTCGAGCCAGCCTCCAGTTTATTGTCGCTTCCCCGTCTATTCAAAGTATTACGGGAATGGATGTGGAAACCGGATTTCAAAATAAAATTCAACTTCGAGTGAATTATCAGATATTTTAAGAACATAATAACAAATAATTTAGGCGTGTTCACTATTAGCGCCCTGTCAATATCAAGGCCATCTTATTTTAAATTTCAAAGTAAAATCCCTTTGAATTTTCATTTTTGAACTACTCTTTCAATGACTTCAGAATGCTCGTAAAAGCAAAAGTCATATTTCCATAGAGTAGTTGCATTTTGTATCAACACTATCCAACCACAGCTATTTGAAATTTCCCATATTTGACCAACTCTTAACGATTTCAAAAAGCTCTAAAATGGAAAATTGCTGTTTCCACAGGGTAATTCCACTTTAGAACAACAGTATACAACCCCACAGTGATACTGTATCAATATCAAGTCATTCTGATGTTGCGTTTCAAAATAAAGGCCTTTTAAAATTGTCCATAATTGATCTACCTTTAACGATTTCAAAAAGCTCTAAAATGGAAAGTTGCTGTTTCCACAGGGTAATTCCACTTTAGATCAACAGTATACAACCCCACAGTGACACCATATCAATATCAAGTCAGTCTGATTTAATTTATTTATTTAAAAAAAAAAAGAAATCCTTAAAGGTAGGTCAATTATGGACAATTTGAAAGGCCTTTATTTTGGAAGGCAACATCAGAATGACTTGATATTCATATGGTATCACTGTGGGGTTGTATACTGTTGATCTAAAGTGGAAATAGCCTGTGGAAACAGCAATTTTCCATTTTAGAGCTTTTTGAAATCGTTAAAAGAGTCGGTCAAATATGGGCAATTTCAAATTGCTGTGGTTGGATAGTGTTGATACAAAATGCAACTGCTCTTGGAAATATGACTTTTGCTTTTAAGAGCATTCTGAAGTCATTGAAAGAGTAGTTCAAAAATGAAAATTCACAGGGCTTTTACTTTGAAATCCAAAATAAGATGGCCTTGATATTGACAGGGCGCTAATAGTGAACAAGCCTAAATTATTTGTTATTATGTTCTTAAAATATCTGATAATTCACTCGAAGTTGAATTTTATTTTGAAATCCGGTTTCCCCCACATCCATTCCCGTAATAACTTGAATAGACGGGGAACAGAAAACTAACTGGAGGCTGGCTTGACACCAGTCCCTACTCTGTATTATTAACATTTCATTGTGTTTATTTCCTAATTCATGTTTAGCGCATCATTTGTTCATCTTGCACCAAGTCAGTTTCCTAATGCTGTGATTCTCGCACATGTGATAATAAAACCTTCTGGTTCTGAAAGGTTCCTCCTGACTACAGGGTTCTCACCGCAGCTGCTAGTCGAGTGACTGTCCCACTCAGCGGTCTGGAAACCGGAAGAAGACACGAGGACCAGCGACACGAGCCCTCATGTCATATCCAAGCACTGAAACAAAGGTTAAACTCAGCGAGTCAAACTGTAAACACCGACCTGACTGAAGGAACTTCACACTCAACTTTCGCGCAGTGCGCAGCTCTGTGCGGTGGTCCTGGTAAACACTCTTAGGACACGGAAGTTAGTCCACTTTCAAATTTGTAAAATTCAACTTCCGCTCAGCAACCTTCAAAATAAAACCGGAAATGCATTGGTTGATGAGTCTAGTCAGGAGACTCACGGGTGTGTCCGAATCCTGTTCGGTCAGGTTGCAATCATGTTCGCTCTACGGTCTTCAGCAAAGTGCACTTGGAGAAAGTGCGCATTTGCCTAATTGAGACAGGGAGCATTGCGTCATCGATCACAACCATCGACATATAAATATCACAACGCATGTCGGGATGCTGGTCGCCGGAGAGGGATTCCCGCCACAGATTACCAGCCACAGTTCTAAAGAGAACAACGTACGTGAAGGTTTGAAGACGGAAGCATAGATATCTGATATTAACTAGATCCCTCACCCGCGCTGTTTCCTGACGTCCGTACGCGGCGGCCATCTTACTTCGGACAGCTGCCCCCCTCTAACGCTGGTGTTTAGTGGTGCATGCACTATTTAAACAACTCGCAACTTTCTCAATTTTCAACCGATTTTCATACGGTTTGATTTTTTAGAAACAATAGAAACATGGCTATGAAATAAATCTTTTTGGCAGGAAACTCCCCTTATTTCACCCCACTTTCCAGCCGTATTTCCCATACTTACTACTTACAACCTAAACCTCCACAATATTCTTGAATCACATGCACCAATAAAAACAAGGTCAGTTACATTCTCCAGGTCAGCCCCATGGTATACAATAGAACTACGCAAAATGAAAACAAATGGCCATGCCCTGGAGCTTCTGTTTACCTCCAAGGAGTTGCTTGTTCATAAACTGGCCTACCGGGACCATCAAAGAACATACTCTAGAGCACTCACTGCTGCCAGATCAAAATATTTTTCACAGAAATTCGTAAACAGTGCTGGAAATTCAAAGCAGCTATTCTACACCATAAATTCACTGCTAAACCCTCCTACAAATCCACATACTGACACTAGCATAGATAAATGCAATAGGTTCATGGACTTTTTTACCAACAAGGTGGCATCAATCCGATCCTCCATCAGTCGTACAGTTCGGCATCCGTTTGACTCCACCTTTCCACATACAATAAATACCTTTTCTGATTTCTCAGCAGCCACTCAGACAGAAGTGGAGCAAACAATATAAAGCTTGAATACCTCAACCTGCCCCCTTGACCCTCTCCCGACACAACTTTTAAAATCAAATATTACAGTCGTCAGTCCATTCATCACTACAATTATAAACCAGTCATTACACTCAGGTCAGGTTCCCTCGGCCCTCAAAACTGCAATAATTCGTCCCCGTCTGAAAAAGCCCTCTCTAAACGCTGCTATCTTGTCCCATTACAGACCCATTTCTAACATACCGTTCTTAGCTAAAATACTGGAAAAAACTGTAGCACACCAACTCCACAATCATCTCAATACTCATAATCTGTATGAAAAATTCCAGTCCGGTTTCCGTTCAGCCCACAGCACAGAAACTGCCCTGGTCCGTGTTATGAATGATTTACTTCTAACTGCGGATCAGGGCTCACCATCTCTTCTCCTCCTACTGGATCTGTCAGCGGCGTTTGACACTGTGGACCAGACCATCTAATCGACTCCAGACTGTGGTTGGCCTTTCGGGAACCACACTACATTGGTTCCAGGAGTACCTTACGGGCAGAACGGAATTTGTAGCTTTAGGACAAAGTCAGTCATCCCCCCACACAGTAAATTGTGGAGTACCACAGGGGTCGGTTCTTGGGCCAACCCTTTTCTCCATCTACATGCTTCCACTTGGACAAATTTTCCATAAATACAAAATATCGTTTCACTGTTATGCAGACGACACTCAGTTATACATGAAAATGGACTCCACTACACCTAAAACTCTTCCATCTGTACTTCAGGTCTGCCTGGAGGAGATGAGGGCATGGATGGCCGCAAATTTTCTTCAACTAAACAGTAATAAAACTGAAGCTATCATTATCGGCACTCCACATCAAACGCAGTCTCTCTCCCTTAGCAGTATTTCCATTTTCGGTCATGACATTCCCCTTTCCTCTACTGTAACAAATCTTGGTATCAGACTAGATTCAAATCTTACATTTGACACCCACATCCGTCACCTCTGCAAGGTCTCTTTTCTCCACCTCAGAAACATTGCTAAACTCCGTCCCTCTCTTTCCCTGCCAGATGCAGAGAAGTTGGTCCATGCATTTATCTCCTCCAGGTTGGACTATTGCAATGCCCTCCTCATTGGGGCCCCCGGCAAGAGCATACAAAAACTCCAGCACATCCAGAACTCAGCTGCCCGGGTCCTGATGAGCAGGCGCAAATACGAACATATCACTCCAGTTCTGAGATCACTTCACTGGCTGCCCATCCAATATCGAGTTCAGTACAAAATTGGCCTTCTTACTCACCAGTGCATCCATGGAACTGCTCCTGCCTATCTGAGTGAACTTCTCATCCCACACACTGCCACAAGAACCCTCCGCTCTACCACCTCTTCACACCGCCTGCACCAACCACTGACTAAACTCTCCACTATGGGAGACAGGTCATTCAAGGCAGTGGCCCCTCAATTTTGGAATTCTCTCCCAGAATTTCTAAGGGCCACACAATCTGTGGAGCTTTTCAAAAAAGGCCTCAAGACCTTTTTGTTTAAACAGGCTTTCTAGTGCACAATGACTTATTGAGTGTTTTACTTTATTTTGTTGTTTTTACTTATTGTTTGTATCCACTGTAATGACTTTTTAGATGGGTTTTATCTATTTCTGGGGACTGTTTTTATTTTCCATGCTTGATAGTATCCTGAAATTTTAACTGTTTTTAACTAGCTGTGTACCTTATACCTGTCCCCTATACTCTGTAGCACTTTGAGATTACTTCTGTAATGTAAAGTGCATTATAAATAAAATGTATTATTATTATTATTACTAATGTCAACAAGATCTGCTTCTGATGAACTAGCTGTAGTTTGTAAACTGATGTCAACGCATAAGTATAAGTTTTAAGATACCTCATAACTTACCATATCAACTTATGCATTAAAACTCAAATACTTGATTTAATTTACAGAAACAGTAAAACTAAAACAATAAATAAATACACAGAAGCAGCAAACAAAATTTAAAGTTACAACACCCAGTCCAAAACACAAACAACTCTAGAACCTCAATGACTGAGAAAACATTTAAAAAAAAGACAAATGAAGATATACAGAATATATTTTATTTACTTTGACTTTAATATTTGGAAGTAATATGAACCTAATTGCTTTGGCAAGTTATTATAATTTATATTTATTTACACTTTCAGCCTGCAACCCATTTAAAATGAAAGTTTGAGAAGAGAAAACTGGGATAATTGTGAGCTAAAGGGCTAAATAAACACTTCAAAAATGAAAGAGTAAATGAATGACAGACCGACAGTCATGAAAATCTTGTCTCCGGGAGGTGATGAGAACGAAGAGAAAGCTCAGGGGTGAGAGAACTTTCTCAGTAGCAGCCCCAAGGTTGTGGAACGCACTCCCAATCCAGATTAGGATGGTTTCCTCACCGTCAGGTTTTAAATCACTTGTAAAGACTCATCTGTTGTCAGTTATGTCAGCATTATAGGAAACTTCTGTTCATTTGGCTTTTTAAGCACTTAGATGGTGTTGTGAAGTGCTTTATAAATAAAGTTGACTTGACTTTTAGTGGTTCGTTAGCTCGCTCCGAACCTGGTTAAAGTCCTGCCTCGTATGACAGCAACAGGCAGCTTTGTCCACAGTTTATGCAGGACTGCCAATAATGCAGGACATAGGTCTCAATTCATTATGTGTGAAAAGTGATGAACATGTGGGGCCATAGGCGTCATTTTAACCGGGGACGCCGGGGACATGTCCCCGGCAAAATTTGTGATTGGCAGCTGTGTCCCCCCCCACTTTCAAAAACGCCTGCTGATGAGGATTTTTGTTTTACCAGCTCAGATCTTATCCAGGGGTCGGCACCCTGTTCCCATCAAAGAACCATTATTACCCGTTTCCCACGGTAATTTTGGACGGACCTTAATAAGCAGTGACTTAAGTGAAGCAGGCAGGTCACGCTAGAAAATTTCGTTTAAAAAGATGTCATAAATGTGTTCCCCCGTCCTTTTTATTTATAAAATATGAAGTTAAAACTCACAATTTAATTTTCATTCATTTGTCATTAATATGTAGTCTACACCCGTGCGTTAAGTGGACCATCTTCCAGTAAACGCACAGCATCCAGTCCACTTCTCCAAATGCGTAAAATGTGCATCAGCCGCTAGTTAGGCGCGCGCGCACCATCAGCTGATCAGCCCAGACAAGAGCAGAGCGACTAGAGAAAGACTAGAGGATAATTGTGTCTGGATGTGGATGGAGATTACATTTTACATCAGCCTGATCATCATTTAAATACGTAAACCATCACCTGTCTTCTAGTCCACGCTATCAGCATTATTTTATATTTTAATTGGTGTGTGTGTGTGTGTGTGTGTGTGTGTGTGTGTGTGTGTGTGTGTGTGTGTGTGTGTGTGTGTGTGTGTGAGTGAGTGAGTGAGTGAGTGAGTGAGTGAGTGAGTGAGTGAGTGAGTGAGTGTGTGTGTGTGTGTGTTTTCCACTTCAAACACTGGTCTAACCAACCAGACCAGCGTGTCCAGTAACACATTAATGTTATAATTAAACAGTTTCACCTCATGTAGGCTAGGAACATTTCACCTGCCGTGGCCCGACCGCTTCTGCTCCACATAAACTTTGTGCGTGATCAAATGTCTCTACGCTTCATGCGGAAGACGGGAACAAGCGCTGTTCAGCCAAAGTTTCATAATTTCATAAAAAGAACATTTTCCAAGTGACACATCCCTCAGAGAGACCGGGTTTCCAGAACGCTTCAGTGGGAGGAAATCATCGCATGCGCGTGGTTCTGCACTGCGCTGCACTGCGAACCCCAGATCTTCAGCTCACTGTCCACCGGGGGCGCTCCGAGCCGCGCTGAACACAGTGTCCAGTATAAAGAGCTCTGATGTTCTGATGGGAATATTTTACCTCCGCGTGTGCGTTAACGATTAAAATGTCAGCTCATCCATGTGCATAAGTGTGCGTGGGGGTAATTCTTTCAAACCAAGCAACATCCTTGAGTTCATCTGTCAAAATAAACAGTCAAATGGAAATATATGTAACCTGCCGTTTAACTGTTTTGCCTTCCTGTGAAGATTGTTGCAAAGAGAAACAATTAAACTTGATTAACCCCAGAGCCACGCAGAGAACCATGCAGTGCGCATGCGGGAAGATTCCTCCCACTGAAGCGAGTGTTTTCCAAACCCTGTCTCTCAGAGAGACTTGTCACTTAGAAAATGTTCCCTGATGATGAAACTTTGGCTGAATAGCGCTTGTTCCTGGCTCCAATGTGGCGACACATCCAGGAGCCGTCTGAGGAGAAGCCCAGAATCTCACATCCTCTTCAGCTCATAAAGTGCCGATGTGATTACGCACAAGCGTGACCGGTCAACCACCGCAGACCGGGTTGGACCTGTTCAGGTTTACGCAGACAATCTTTACATTTAGAATTGGCATACAGGTGTAAAATTAATGCAGTAAAATATAAAGCTTTTTATTTAAATATCCATTCATTATTTTACAAGCACAGAGAGTTGCATCAGATGGATGGAAGAGCCGCATGCGGCTCCAGAGTCGCGGATTGCCGACCCCTGTGCTAGCCTACTTTATTGTCCCCAGCAATTTTTAAACCCCACTCAAGTGTATGGTTATTGTCCCCAGCAATTCTGAAAACAAACTGACGCCCTTGTGTGGGGCTGTCCTGCATAAAGCGTCTGGTCACCCGACATGACACTGAAGAGTGCAACCGTTACCCGTGTCCTTTCTTTGCCCGATCCATCGACTCAGATCACCAAAACTTGTGAATCGTTGACATTATTTAAGTCTGCTCTATCTATCAGCCTACTTTAGACGTTTTAACTGCAATAGCAGGGCTGCCAGCTCTCACGCACTGAGCGTGACACATGCATTTGACCCTCTTCACACCTTCAATATTAACCCCTCCCCCCGTGTTTAAGGCAGCCCTGCATTAGACCTCTACAGCGATCCACAAGACCCAGGCAATGGCGGTCGGGACCACAAAAATGTGACTAAATGTAAAAGCGACGATCCCTGCACAACCAGTGGGAAACACGCTGTGTCAAAATGAACTTTGGTCTAATTTAATAATACTAGGAATCAAAAGCTCTTAAGTGTTTTATTGAAAAGTTACAAGATCACAGCAGTATTTACACAGCATTGACACCAAGCTACCTAGTCTAGTTTATCTCTGCTGAGCGAGAACTGTACACGCATCCAAAAACCTTCACAAATTAGAAATGGAAACAGATCTGCATAATGTCACAGTATCAACTTCGCTATTCCATCTCATCATCATCATCATCAGTGGCCTTGTGGGACGCCTCCACATCACCTGAACCAGAGCCTCACAATACTGAAGTGGTGCTACATGCTCTACAGCAGGGCTACTCAAGTCCGGTATCCAGCACGTTTTAGTGGTTTCTCTGCTCCAACACACTAGATTCAATGGTTCAGCCACAGAAGGACCTTGAGAAGGGAACATGATGTTGAAGTCTCGACAATCTGAGTGTAAACACGCAGTGTCGAATCTTTTCCTGCAACTTGGAAGATTAACAGACGCACAGAGGCAGATTCACGTCTGCAGCCGACCGGTGACGCGTAGGTCAGTCTGTAGACGAAAAATGACAAATTCTGGACATTTCACCTGTTCAGCAGCTCATCAGGCTCCGCAGAAGCCTGTTAATCACCTGCTGATTGAAATCAGGTGTGTTGAAGCAGGTTAAAACTAAAACATGGATACTGGCTCTCCCGGCCTGGAATTGAATATTCCCGCTCCACTAAACTCTGTGGGTTCCCATTAGAAGTGAGAACAGGTTAAAAGGGTGGGGGTTCCACCGCCTGGTCAGATATGCAGAAATAAAACACTGATCAAATCCTCGTTTTACACTCCGGAATCAGACATAAACAGGGTATCTGCAGGTTTAAGGGAGCCACATTTAACACTTTAAGACCTTTTTAAGGCCACTTTGACCAAATTTAAGCTATTCTCTTAAATTAAATTTAACCTATAATTTCCAGCTATTGCCTGGAACCGGTGCTAACCACGTCGCGAACGTGGGATTAGCCATCCAGTTACCATTCAACTTGCCCTTCCCCATGGCGCAAGCTCCCACTAGCTTAACCAGCTAATGTGCTCATCTAAAAAAGCCCCCTCTAACAACCAACTGCATGTGTACGGTTCCACTTACGGCAACATCGTACACAAAAAAATGCTGAACACTCACTAGAAATTCATGAAAATTGGGTCTTTGGTAATTTAAGACCTTTGGAAACTGTATTTAAGGATTATTTGTAATTTTTAAGGATTTTTAAGGCCTTAAATTTGGAAAAGCTAATTTAAGACTTTTTAAGGACCTGCGGATACCCTGATAAAAAAGAGATAAACATTCCAAGTTAGATCCTGAGAAGTGACTGCACACACACACACACACACACACACACACACACACACACACGCCAGAGCAGGAAGCAGAACCAACTCATTAAAGCCGAGCTCAAACTGCAGCCGCATGAAAACAAACCAACAGCAAAGGTAAAAGTTCTGCGTGTCGTTTTCGTATAAAAACCAAAGTGTATTTACAGAAATATACAGTACACCCTAGAGTCGATCCTAAAAGAGCTTTTCCTTCATCTTTGTAAACTTTGTTTTGTCTTTAAAAATCATTTCTACCTAAATCCAGAACGTTTTTTTTCTAAATTTGTCCAAAATAGACTGAACTTTTCCTCATTTATCCTAAAACACTTCTTTAGTCCAGATTCAAGACTTTTAGAAACTATTTATGTAAGAAGCTGAATTGAGTCCACCACGATCAGCTCAGGCGGTCGGAACGCTGGGATGAACAGGCTGCAGGGCAGCGGGATCCTCAGTAGACACGAGGAATGATCCGGTAGCGTACAGTCCGGCAGTATTCGTCCCACGCCGAGCCGTACTTCCTCCTGCAGTCACTCATGTCCCGAGAGTCACGGTGCACCAGCAGGATGATGAAGTAGATCATGTAGTACCACGGCAGGAGGTGTCTGAAGCCTGGGGGTGGCAGAGAGGTCAGAACAGAACGTGCATGCAGGTCTAGTCTGAGTAGAGCAACAACTAGAGAGGAGCCCCCCAGGACCAGAGATCCCTGAACTGAGGAGCGCGCGCACACACACACACACACACACACACTTTACAATGGACTCAGTTGTTCCTCTACGTTCACACAACATGGCGCTCCAGCCCCTGACCTCTGACCCTGTGAACTTACCACATGGAAGGGACCAGGCCAGGGCCATGAGGAGATCTCCCAGGTAGTTGGGGTGGCGGACCACCCCCCACCAGCCGGAGACCAGCAGACTCTTGCCTGTAGCTGTAGGGATGGTTTTCATGTCTGCAGATGACAAAAAGAAATGCTCTCACGGTTCCTGAAGACGTTCTCCTCCCAGAAGCACAAGCAGACCGCCGTGGGGCTTCAGAGGTACTTACGGGAAAACCTGGGGTCCGACGGGTTTCTTCTGAAAGCATTCTTCTCAGAGTTTGACTTCCGGAAAATGTAGAATCCAACGACTGGAACACAGAGGACCGGGGCAAGAAACCATCAGAGCTTTGTGGATCATCCAGATCTGAGCAGCTGTGTGCCGAAGTCCAGACTGTACTCACGTTTCAGAACAACGATGGCGAAAAGGACAGGGAGACTCAGGGGGTTGGGGTGGTCTACCAGGTAGTACGCTTGCAGCGTGTAGGTGAAGGGAACCCACACTAGGTCACCAAAGGCTAGCATGAAGCCAAAACCATCATGCATTAGGTCCATGGTTGTCAGGATGGCCTCCTGAGAGAGAGACACACAGTGGAGAAGAGCAGATCAAACAGGCCGACTCCACTGAGGAGGCGGAGGCTTGTTCTGATGATGGGGGTACCTCGTTCCAGAGGCCGTCTATCACGTAAAGCAGCTGGAAGACATTCACGAGGATCATGGAGGACGATGGAGTCTCCAGGCCTTGATGTTTCATCTCAGCTAGTGCCATGGCGAAGTTGATCAAACA